AAGTCGGGAGGACATCCCAAGGCACTGGACGGTCAGGATTTGGACCCGAGTAGGGGGCAGGGGAGGTTGGGATCAGGGAGGGTAGGACAGTGGCCAAAGGCACGGTCAAAGAGGAGGGTCTTGAGACGTGCCTTGAACAAGGCAAGGGAGGGAGCGAGGTAAAAGGAATGTGGAAAGGAGTTCCAAAGGGTGGGGGCAGAGAGGCTGAAGGTCCGACCACTGATGTTGGAACAGGCTGGGCGGAGGATGTGAAGTGTGAAGGAGGGTTTCGGTGGCCTTAGGGGTGAGGCAGTGGCAGAGCCAGGCGACGTTGCGGAGGTGGGGAAAGGCAGAGCGGGTCATGGCTCAGATGTGGGCGAAAAAGGACAGTTGAGGGTCAAACAAGGCTCCTAGGTTCCTGACTAGCTCAGTGAGGTGGAGTGTGCATCCATGGATGGTGATGCTGCCAAAATGCCTGTTAAGAGATAACCTCCACTGGAGCTCTCTATTCTGACCCCATTCCCTGCTCTTTTCCCCCATAGACCTGAATAGCTTTGCCTCAAGTGATCTATTTCTCTTTGAAGTTCTGTTATGTACTCTAGCAGACATTTGTGTTGTTCCATGTTCTAACAACCCTGAGGGTGATAAGTCTTCCTGCCCCCCCCATTGTAACCCCCCCATAAAATCTGGTGATCTCGTGTCTGGCCTCCTCATTGCCCATCAGCAGACAGATTCCTCCCATTCTCACTGACAAGAATTGTAGATGAGGTTACTTTTCAGCTGGTCTGATTGAAGCACTGAGAGTGGCGTGGGCTTGCACTAAAGACATCTTGTCTCACTGCAGGGTATCAATCACATCCCATCCCATCATCCCGGCCAGCAGGCATGATTCCTGCTGACAGGTGTGCAGTGCCACGTGGAGCACTGTCTGTGCTGCCCAGGATAGGAACATAGGAACAGGAGGAGGCCATTCAGCCCCACATTCTATTAGATCATGGCTGATAGGTACCTCAACTCCAATTACCCGCCTTTGCTCCATATCCCTTGATACCCTGACCTAACAACACCAACTTGCATTGATATAGCTCCCTTCACGCCCTCGGGTTAGGGTTAGGGCATCGTCTCGGAGAACTTAAACATCCACCTCAGTCTTTGAATGGATTCAGCATCCACAGCTTTTTTAGGGAGAGAATTCCAGATTTCCCCTACTCTTTGGGGGAAAAAAATGCCTCCTGAATTCACTCCTAAATGGCCTGGTTCTAATTTTAAGATTTATGCCCCTTGTTTTGGATTCCCCCACCAGAGGATATAGTTTCTGTGTAGCTACCCTATCAAATCCCTTTATCATCTCAATACCCCACGGCTAATTTCTTTTAAAACGTAAATACAATACAAAATTGCAGAGACCCTGAAGGCCCAACCTCCGATGGTGGGGCTGGCCCGGCGGGGAGACATGGAGCAGGCCGGAGCCTGCTGAGCAGAGGGAGTGTGTAAGTTGGTATGATGCAGAGCAGGTCATGGCACGGATGTGGGGGAGAAAGGACAGTTGAGGGTCGAACAGGATGCCTAGGTTCCTGACTGGCTCAGTGAGGTGGAGTGTGCATCCTAATAGACTCCAGATATTGGATGGTGATGCTGCCAGTACCTGAGTTGCGGAGGCGCTGACGGAAGCCAATCAGGAGAGCCTTAGTCTCATTGACATTCAACTGTAGAAAGTTTGCTCTCATCCAGGACATGATGTCTGACAGACACTTTGTCAGCACAGCAGTGGTCCCAGAGTTGAAGTTGGAGGCAGAGAGATAGAGTTGGGTGTCATCCGCTTACATGTGGAAGTTGACTCCATGTCTGGGGCTGATGTCACCAAGAGTAAAGTTAACTTCTTTCTCCTCTCTTTTTCTGACTCCCAACCTTCCTCACCCCATCCGTTGCCAAACCTTCAGCCATTAGACCCGCTCAGTCTCCAAATCCTGACTCCCCTTGCTTCTTCATTCCCTGCCTTAAAAGAACATCTTAATACCTCTCTCTCGTTGACTGTATCATTGGCAACAATCTCGAATGCTCCTCTTCCTCTCCTCGTTAACAGATCCAGGCTTTCAGGTGTTCATCCTACACGTGTTGAGATTTATTTCCTGTTCGTCCTCTGCCCACCCATCCTTTAACACTGAGATATCCTCCTGATGTGAAAGGTGCTACAGGATATAAATATAAATTGTATTGTATTGGTACTTCATGTGTGACAATTAAGACAGTGAATTAGACAGAGGAGAGCATACTGTCCTATAGTGGCTTGAAAATAAAAATTAGGCTATTTGGGCCATCAGACCTACTCCAGTGCAGTGCTGTTTTATCCATATAAGTTACGCAGTGAGTGCAGCATAGCTCAGTGTCTGGAGTCTATTAGGTGTCATTTTAATCTGAACTCGGGCGCTTCAGTCTTAAAAGGAGACATCTTCGACCGTGCCTTTGATACACTTCAAGTCACTACACTTGACAGCAATTACCTGAGAAGCGCTTGCAAGGCTTCAGAGTTACAGGGGCTGGTCAAGTAGAAGTATTAGTGGGTTTCAGGACATGGGTTTTAGAACCCTTCGTTTACAGCCCTCTGTGAACCTCCGGGTTGGCCAGATGCTCAGACGGTCTATATATAGTGCAGCCAGTGTAGTGAAGTTAAACCTCTAAGCCCAGAGATACAGTCTCTCACTCGGCTGAGCACTGACATTTGACAATGTTCTCAAACGTCTTGGGGGACAGTGTATCATGCCGTGTCCTGCTGTGCCTCCCACCAGCCCAGTCTGTGTCTGTTGCTCTCTCCCACCAGCTACGGGTATAACATAATAGCCAACGTTGGCACACAGCCTTCACTGACCGGACTGGTCATCCAGCACTTGGATGGTAAAGCTAAGGATCAATGACTTGCATCACATACATAACACAGACATACATCGTGGAGTCCTGTAGGGTATTGGTTAGTGCGCTTGCATCGCTGGTGAGAATACCTGGGTTCTATTCCTGGTCAGGATGAAACGTTAGACACGTTTCCTTATTCCACACACCTCTGTTTACCTAGCAGTAAGTAGGAACCCGGTTGTTAGTCGATTGGTGGATCACTTTCTGGGGATAATAAATAAATCAATAAATACATAATAATAATTTGTCACTCAATCCACAACTGTTTGGACGCTGCTGTGTGCAATTGGCTGCTGTGTTTTGCCCACAAAACATACAGTCAATTCACTTTATAGTATATTCTGTGAAACGCTTTGAGACATCCTGAAGACGTGTTAAGGCACTATATCAAATGCAAGGATTATTATTATTATTATTATCACATGTTTGTTCTCTGACCCTGAATTTGTGTAGGATTTCCGTTGGGTGCAAAATAGCCCTGGAACCATACAAACACGGGGTGGGGGGGACGGGGGGGGTTCAGCACTACCAATAAGGCTGGTGGTGGGGGAGGGGGAGCGCTGCATTGTCAAGAGGTGCGTCCTTTGATGAGCCGTTAAACCGAGGTCCCGTCTGCCTGTTCAGATGGATGTTAAAGATCCCACATTATTCGAAAAGAGAAGGGAGTTTCTCTCTCCCGGTGTCCTGGCCAACAATCCCCCAAATAATTTTTGGGAGGGTCAGGCGGGTGTCTGATACCCATCACAAAGCTAAAGAGTATTGAAACCAAGCGGAGAATTCCATGCCTCCCACCTACACAGAAATCCCAGAGATAGGTTGTTGGAATGGAATGCGCTCTCTCTCCCTGGAGGGACGATTCTGCTTATCTAATGCTGGAACGTTTTGGGCGCACGTTGGCAAGAGCCAGGGCTTTATTCCAGGTAAAATTGGTCATTTAGTACAAGTGTAATGTTTAAGAAGCTCTCTCGGAGTGTCAGCCTGGCTCCCGTCTGGGGCAGAACATTGTGAGGTAAAGGTGTATATGTGATGAACTCACAGCCCAGATAAGGACAGGGAGGGGGAGCTTTGCATTGTTGTGGGTTAGATTGTTTAGATAAGATATTAAAACCAAGATCCTTTTCCATGCCTTTTCCAAGGATATTAAAGATCCTAACAGTCGTCTTTAAATTCTTTCACGCCCTGGCACCTCCCTACCTCTCTAACCTATTTACCCCCCAACCCACTATCCACTGCTTCCACTTGACTGGCTCCGGCCTCCTGCTTGTCCCTCCTTTCCACCATCGGAGGCCGTAATTTCAGCCTCTACGCCCTGAAACTCTGGAACTCTCTTCCTCAATCCCTTTGCGTTGCCATCTCCTTCCCCATCTTCAGGTCACGCTTATTCGACCGTACTTAAGGTCACCTCCCCACTCCCCCGGCTCAAAGTCATACACTGCCACTGTCAAGTGCTCTGGGATGCTACCCTGTGTGAGGGACGCTATATAAATGTAAGTTGTTGTTGTGTCAGCCTGGCTCAGTTGGTAGCTCTCTCGCCTTGGAGTCAGGAGGATGAGGGATTCCATTGAATCCACAGTTCCTGACTTGGAGACAAGAGTGTTACTGACTGAGCCAGGCTGACAGCTGCCTGACTTGCTCACAAGGGAATGAAGGGAACAGCTCTCAATTTCCCAATGTTAATGCCATTCAAACTGAGGAGCGCAAAATAATAATAATAATAATCCTTGCATTTGATATAGCACCTCATCATGTCGTTGAGACATCTCAAAGCGCTTCACAGGATATGCTGTAAAGTGGACTTACTGTGTATTTTGTTAGCGAAATGTGGCAGCCAATTACACGCAGCAGCGTCCCACAAACAGTCGTGAGTTGAGTGACCAATTTTTTGGAGGGATTAATACTCCCGTAAAAGTAATCTGCCAATCAAGTAACAACTGGGTTCCTACTTATAGCTAAGTAAACAGAGGCAATGTGGAGTAAGGTTGGGAATTGAACCCCGGTCCTCTCACTTGCGAGACTGTGCTCTAACCACTAAGCTACAGGACTTCTTTCCGAAAGGAAAATACAGGGGAGAAAAAAATTGAAAGCTAACGTGCCTGATTATCCTTTTCCCACAGCAAGCTCTGGAGGCTAATCTGACTAACCTTGTGAAGAGGAACAGTGAGTTGGAGTCACAGATGGGACGCCTCATTCAGATCTGCCAGCAGGTGGAGGTGAGTGCTCTGTGTTGCCAACGTGTTGCTTATTCCATTGCAGTGAAATTCCATCACATGACAGTCCTCGTTGGTGTCACTGGTACCACACCTTGTTTCTAGCTCAGGACATCGGGAGATCAGATCTGCGTCAGGTCTTTGAACTCACAATCTAGCTGATGCTCCAGTGCAGTGCTGGAGGTATTCTGCATTATCTTTCTTTATCGTATCTGTGCTGGTGCTCGCTCCCCCAAAGGAGCTCTCTAAGTAAGTATTCCTTCAAAGTAAATGAAAATAATTTGGTCACTTCAATCCATCACTGTTTGTGGGACACTGTTGTGCGCAATTGGCTGTCGCGATTCGCCCACAAATATACAATCCATTCACTTTACAGTATATTCTGTAAAGCGCTTTGAGACGTCTCAATGACATAATAAGGAGTTATATCAAATGAAAGGATTATTATTATTAATTCCATTCCCTGCTCTCTCCCCATCATATCTGTGCTGGTGCTCACTCCCCCATGGAGCTCTCTAGTTAATCCCATTCCCTGCTCTTGCTGGATAATGCCTGAGTTACTGGAGTTATCTCAATGCCAATCACTTGTTCTCCCCCCATATCCAGTCGATGTGATGCAGACTGGCAGCAAGGAGTCTGGATGCAAAGATGTAATCAGCCACTTCCTAATGGGTTATTGACGTGTGCCTTTTTGCTTGTTAAGTTACAGAGTTCTGGCGGTTTTCCCCTCTCTCAGGGAATAAGAACACTCTGTTTCCCCCAGACGTTCATTGAAAAACAAATTATCGCAAAGCAATAGGCAGGATGTGGAGAGGGAATGAGCTAGTGAGGGTGGAGGGATTGTGTGAGGCAGTCCTCTTATCTGTGTCACAAATAATTCAACAAGCTCATTATACAAAGGGACATAATTGCTCTGTATGTGTGTGTGTGAGTGTGTGTGTGTATGTGAGTGTGTGCGTGAGTGTGTGCACGTGGACAAAATCATTAACAGAATTAAGTCCCTCATTAACAAGCTGCCGAGATGCATTTTTAAGAAAGATGTTTCCGAAGTGACGAATCTGTAGAAAACACCAAGCCAACGTCCTGAGCTTCTTCCTCCTCTTGAAATCATTGAACTCACTGCATTCCTCTCTTACTCCACCAAGGCTCTGCTTGCCCGGCTGCCCAGCTTCTCCCTACAAAAGCTGCAGCCTATCCAGAACTCTGGAGCTCACGTCTCCCACACCATAGAAACGGGTGGGTGCTGTTCGGCCCCTCAAGCCTGTTCCGCCATTCTATAAGATCATGGCTGATCTGTACCTGATCTGAAGCGCTTTGAGACATCCCAACAACGTGATAGGCGCTATATCAACTCAAGGATTATTATTATTATTATGGAGAGCTGATGCTGGACATGCTCCGAGTCTAGTATGAACTTCCTAAGACTGGGTGCCCCAAACAGAACCCTGCTCCACATGAGGTCTGACCAGTGCTCTGTATAATAATAATATAATAATCCTAGCATTTGATATAGCTCCTTATAACATCACCTGTGATGTAAGATATATTGCTGGATGTTAAGTGAAGCTAAGAGCCTATTGATCCTCTACCATTGCTCTACACCCACATGGAGAGGAACAGGAAATGAAGGACTGGTCTGACTGTTGCTGTTTGCTCCCAGGTGAACACAGCCCTGCAGGAGGCCAAGCTGAAGAAGGAGTGCGATGAGCTGATGGACATCATTCGGCAACGGAAGCAGGTCATTGCTGTGAAAATCAAAGAGGGAAAGGTAAGTCCTCTCTCCTTCATTATCCCCTCGCTCATCGCTCAAAGCAAAGCCACGTCTGTGATGTCAGCCTGGCTCAGAGCATTGCACCTCAGTCAGCAGGAAGTGGGTTTGAGCCCCACACCGAGACTGTGATCTCACAGTCTAGGCTGTCACTCTAACACAGTGTTGGGGGTGGGGGGGGTGGTCATTATTGAAGATACCGTAATTTAGAGCCACCCATCTGCCTCTTCATCTGGAGATTAAAATCCTGTCATTAAAAATAAAAATAATATAATCCTTGCATTTGATACAGCACTGTTCACGTCTTCTAGACGTCTCAAAGCGCTTCACAGAATATACTGTAAAGTGAATTGATTGTATATTTGTGGACGAAACGCACACAGCAGCGTCCCACAAACAGTCATGGATTGAAGTGACCAATTTTATTATTTTTTTCTTGAGGGATTATTATCAGGCGTGTGGCGTAACAAAACTTGCCGGGAATCGAACACATGTCTCTCACTTGCCTCACTTGTCTCTCAGGTGAGTGCTCTAACCACTGAGCACTCCTACTGACTCCTCCTGGAAAAGAGGAGGGAGTTTCTCTCTCTTTCCGAGGGCCTGGCCAACAATCCCTCAAATAAACTTGGTCTCATTCAATTCATTCAAATTGGCTGCTGCTTTTCACCTATGAACTTTACTATGAAATACACTTTATAATATATTGTGTGATGCACTTTGAGATATCGCTTTTGACATAAAAGGTGCTGTGTTAATGTAAGGATTATTATTACTCTGAAGGACATTGCTGCCATGCTTTCCTAAAGAACAGTCACTACACCTCAACAACTCACTGCATTGGAAAACCACCGAGCTGGTAACAGAGGCAGAGTCAGCTGGTGTGTGTGAGGGCCAGTCTGCGTGTGACAGTCTGCATGTGTGTCAATCTGTGTGCGCCAGTCTATGTATGTGCCAATGTACATGCCTAATAATAATCCCTCCAAAACAAAAAAACAATAATAAAATTGGTCATTTTCAGTCTACGACTGTTTGTGGGACATTGCTGTGCGCAATTGGCTGCCGCGTTCACCCACAAATATACAGTCAATTCACTTTACAGTATATTCTGTGAAGCGCTTTGGGACGTTGAGAAGACGTGAAAAGCGCTATATCAAATGCGACGATTATTATTATTATAATAATGTATGTGTGTCAGTCTGTGTGTGCAGTCTGTGTGCATGTGTGCCAGTGTGTGCCAGTCTGTGTGTGTGTCAGTCTGTGTGTGTACCTCCAGGAGAGGAAATCCTGTGATAGACAGTGGGACAATCAAGTGACAATGTCACTTGATGTACCATGTATTTTCTGTGGGCATCAAGATGTGAGTGACTGTGTGACTGACTGGGCTCAGCAGCTACAAGGAGAAGCTGTGTTCTCTATGGGATGCCTGAGATGCAGTGAACTGCACTGGTCCCTTTCATTCATAGTTCATATTCCTTCAGTGTAACAGTGAAGGTCTCTCACCCTTATGTTATACAGGGAGACCAAAAAGTCATGATACCATTACAATGTCTAGTAAATCTTATAGAAATGATGATATTGTGTTTTTTTTAGATGTTAGGGTAGATTTCACAACTTTTCACCTTGTATTATTATATTTATATGATATGTTCCCCTGGAAGATAACATGGTCAGTGTAACACAGTCCTGGTCCTGAGGAGAGAACATAACAAAGCTTTCCAATAGGATGGCTTGCTGGGAGTGTGGGGAGAAGAGATTTAACAGTCCAAAGCACACAGAGGTGGATGTGTGTTTAAAAAACTGTTCGGTGGGGAAGTGGGATAAAGAATATGCTTCTCTGATAAGCTGCTGCCTTATCCAGCAAATTCCAATTTTGATTAAAATTAAATCTAAATGATAATACTCCTTGCATTTGCATAATCCTTTCGCGTCAGGAGGGTGTTTCAAAGCACTTCACAGGATTTACTGTGTATTTTGTAGGGGGTAACCAATTTGCGCACGGCAGTGTCCCACAAACAGCCATGGAGTGAGCGACCAATTTTATTTGGGGGATTGTTGGCCAGGACACCGGGAGAGAGAAACACTCTTCGCTTTTTGAATAGTGCCGTGGGATCTTTAACATCCACCTGAACAGGCAGACGGGACCTCGATTCATCCAAATGACAGCAATGTAATTTTTTTACTGTAAAGTGCCTGAGGAGTGCTTTGACTGGGGAATCCTGTTAAGCGCTTTGAAACACCTTCCTGACATGAAAGGATTATGCAAATGAAAGGATTATTATTACTATTTACATTTTGGGGAGGACAAGTTTGCAGGGCTACGGGGAGAGCGGGGGAGTGGGATTGAATCAGTCAGCTCTTTTCAAAGAGCCGACACAGACACGATGGGCCAAATGGCCTCCTTCTGTACTGTATAATTCTTTGATTCTATCGCTGTTCATTTGTAGGCGAATACTAAACTGCCCTGACTGACTGCCAGATGCCAATACTGAACAAGGCAATGAGATTCAGCAATACTGAACTCTCAAAACTAGCTTCGATTTATACCCTGCCCCCCCCCCTCCATGCCCTCAGAGAGCAGAGCATGAGACAACGGTTATGTATCTCTTAAGACCAATACTTTACACCATTGTGCCTCTGCAGTAAATGCTTAGTAGACTATTAAATAAAATTGCTTTGATGACCACGCTCAGTCTGTCTGGTCAGTGTTGCCCAGTGCAGTTATCTCCAGCCTTTGAGCTTCTAGTCAAACCTGTTATTTTACACAAAGTCCCATTTCCTCCCTTTCTCATAAACACTTCCAACAATTATAACCGTGAAGTCAGGGCAGGGCTGGGCAGGGCAGGGCTGGGCCGGGCAGGGCTGGGCAGGGCAGGGCTGGGCAGGGCAGGGCAGGGCTGGGCAGGGCAGGGCTGGGCAGGGCAGGGCTGGGCAGGGCAGGGCAGGGCAGGGCAGGGCTGGGCAGGGCAGGGCAGGGCT